TTTCTCCCTCACTCTGAGGTTTCTTTACCTTCGTTTTTGTGGCCTTTTTTCGGCCGCGCGCGCTCTCTGTTTCCCGTTCCGTTTCTGACATGCTCTCTTGGATATCTGTCAATGCTCTCTGACCTTCTTTTATTACCTTTTCACATCTCTCATCTTGCAGACAAGCTCTAATCAGTTTCCAGAGGGGCCTGGTGCCTCCCCTCAGGCTACCCTCCTCCTCCTCTCTATCAAGATCTTTCCCCAGTTTGTCCCAGCTCGGGATTGAGAGGGACCCTGAACAAATGAACCAGGGGGCCACACGGTCTATCTCCTTCACAAAAGATCCTAAGACTTTGCTGGAGACCTTCAAGTTTCGCTCTTTGAGAGCTGTCTGCAGCGCCGTGACTAATGACGGTGCATTCCCCATGGTGCCTCCTTATTTACAGAGAACCATCAACCATCATCCTAAAAAGCAGGGGCCTCTCGGAACTTACCCCTCCGGGCTTTCTTCTGACCTGCAGTTCTGAATCCTCTCCAGATGTCTGAAGGGTCCTCCCTGTGCCGGTGATGTTCTGGTTCCCGGGTTTCGGCACCACTTGTCGCGCGCCCCGTCCTCGCCGGCAAGAACAGCACGCAACAACAGCAGGATTCTTCTGCAGAAAGCTTTATTCTTCAGCTCTTTGTGAAACAAATGAGTTGGGCAGGACCCAGAGGGGAAGGAGAGGCTTGCTTATATAGTTCTCATGCTCTGACCTGGTTGGTGCGGCTCCATATGCCTTATTAGCATAACCATTTGGTGGGTCTCATTGGTCCTTATGCCAAGGCGCAATTAGCATGTAGTTTAGTGGTGTGGGATGATTTGTCATTAGGAAGTTCGGGGCCTTCTGGCTGCCCTGCATTGGGCGCTATTTTCTGAGCGCGGCTGCCAACAAGAATGTAAAGTTTCCCTAAACATAAAAGACTTCAAACTTGAACCCTTTCTCCCTTTTCTATAGTTTGAACTTAGTTTTATGACTATTATCTTTCTTCTTCAACAACTATAATCATAATGATGAAAATAGCAGATACTTATTAAGTACTTTTTAGGAATTATACCAAGTGTTTTATATTTGGTATTGTCTCTCAAATCATCTCAATGATCTTGTACATAGGGGTCATTATCCCATTGTATAGAAAGGGAACTGTAGCTCACAGAGGCTGAGTGACATGCCCAATGTTATATGAAGATATTTAAGTCTGACTCCAGAGGCTCTATTATTCAACTTTGTCTTTCTTACAACAGTGACTTATTGGTCTTCAATCTTAAACTATTTTTCAATGTTGCCATATTCTTTTTATCTCCATCAACAAATTAGACACCATTTCATGACCCAATATTAAATAATGATTTTTCTTGTTCAGTTTGTTGAACACAGGGCAAAGACAGAAAAAAATTCTGATATGACAAGTTTTTATTTGTATCAAATTACACAGTATTGTAAGTAAATATAAGATTATGATTTGAATATTGTAATGTAACATATAACTTGGCAAATTATTATCCAAAAATTTTATTACATATTTGAGTATGCACTGAAGAGATTATTTGGCATAATTTGGCAAGATAAATATTTTTGAACCTTATTTAACCACTTATCATGTATATATGTAGTATATAAATGTATGTGTATATGTGTACATTCACACACACACACACACACACACACACATGTATACATTCCTAAATTAAATATACTTGTATAAAAAGCTAGAATAATGTGTTAGGATTAATTTCTTTTTAAAAATCTATATTTAAATTACATCTGCATTCAAAGCAGAAATGTAAAAAGACATTAATTTACCAAATACACATGAATTTACCCAGTAATTGAAAATGAAATAAAAATTTCCATTGAGATGTGAAAGTCCTGTTAATTGACATTTAAGCACACTATTAAACTATGGAAATAAACATCATTTTTTAGATTGTTGAGAGAATAAAGATTCTACTGAGTATCACTGCACCCTCTAAATTAAGAATGAACACTATTATAGTAGGAAAAGACAACAGATGATTTTCTTCTTTATTAATATGGGAATTCTCGGAAGCAGTCATGGCAGTGTCTGTACTCCTGGGCTTGGGCTTCCTGCTTTCTCATCAGTGGAAGTCTGGCTTTTCAGGAAAGGTGCAGCCAGTCCGCCTAATTATGACACTTGCTGCATAGTGGCCACCACGGATGCATTCAGTCAGGGGCTTGTCAGTGATCAGTTGAGACAGAAAACCTGGGAGTACAGGACAAAAGGAAGAACATGAGTATTATGTAACAGCATCAGAAATGTCATATTGAATCCAAACAAAAAATGGTCTACGCACCTATTTCTTTCTTCAGTCTCAACAGTGTTAAACCTCAAGCGTTAGAAAGATCTTCCTCTAACATCACAAGCTGCCCTTATATCTTTTAAAGAGCTCACTGGGACATGACAACTCATCATCAAGTCAGTCTAGTCTTTTTAAGCCTAAACTATCATGCCATCCACCTTTAGCTTTGGTTGAAATAAGTGGTAAGAAATATTGGCCAAATAATATTATCTTGGATCTTTACAGCTGAAAAGTTGTTATCCCTCTCCCTGTCTTTCTGTGTTCCTGCTGTATTGTTGTTATTCCTAGCATATTGTTACTTGGATAAAATTCTATTCATCTGGATGTTTCTCCAAGTACAAATCTGAGCACTGAAAAGTTATGAAGGACCTCACATTTCTCTTTCACTACAAGAAGTAACAGTGAAATAATTTCTAGAGTCAAACATCATTGGCTAGCTTAATATAAAAATTAATAAGGAATAAATAGTGTTGAGGACTTCTGCTTCTGACCAAGATGAGATGAACCAGATCTACCCTTTCTTCAGAAACAACTAAAATAAAGACAAAGTATGTGAACAAAGTTTTAAAAATATTGTACATCAGCTATGGCATACATCAAAAGATTAATAAAAACAGGGAAGCAAATTAGGTAAACTGCACAATTGCTGTAGCTAACTGCCTAGAATTACCTAGTATTACCATACAACACATGGAGGGACAAGCGAGGCAGAGCCCGATAGTCTCACTGAGTTAAGAAGATGGAACTGGGAGTCCACATAGGACAGAATTAAACATTTAGACTGACTGATTAGGGAAAAAATGAGAAAAGACATAAATTACCAATATTAGGAATGAGAGGTGATATCACTATAGGATCTATACACACTAAAAGGATAGTAAGGAAACATTGTTAATAACTTTATGCTGATAGATTTGAGAAGTTAGATGAACTGGACAAATTCCGGGAAGGGAACAAACTATCAAAGCTTCCTCAGGAAGAAGTAGATAACCCAAATAGTCTTGTAGCTATTAAAGAGATTGATTTTTACAGTTAAAAACTTCCCATAAAGAAAATTCTGGGTTCAGATGGTGTCACTTGTGAATTCTACCCAATATTTATGGAATGAAAATAATACCAATGCTATACAAACTCTTCAGAAAACTGAGAAGGAGGGAATACTTCTCAACTCATTTTTTTAGGCCAGCATTACTGAAACTGAAACCAGAAAAGATGCAAATACTCTGAAGAAAATTTTAGCAAATCAAGTCCAGTAGTTTTTAAAAAAGACAATAAATCATGATCAGGTGGGTTTTATCCAGAAATGCATGGTTGGTTAAAATCTAAAAATTATCAGTGTAATTTACCATATTAACTAAGACAACCATAAGACCGATGATCTTAATAGAAACACAGAAAGCACTTCACAAAATCTAACATACATTCCTAATAAAAACTATGGGCAAACTAGGAACAGAAGGGAAGTTCCCTAACCTGATGAAGGTCATTTATTAAAAACTTGTAGTTAATATCAGTTTACTTTACTTAAGTATAATTGACATATTAGTTTCAGATATAAAACATAGCAATTTGACATTTATATGTATTATGAAACATACACCATGATAAGTATAGTTACCATCTGTCACAAAGTTATTGTAACCCTATTGACTATATATCCTATGCTGTACTTCATATCCCTGTGACTTATTTATTTTATAACTGGAAGTTATAACTGTACCTTTTAATTCCCTTTATTTATTTCACCCATTCCCCTGCCTCACTAGTTTGTTCTCTGTATTTATGAGTCAGTTTGTTTTGTTTTTTTTAGATTCCACATATAAGTAAAATCTATGGTATTTGTCTTTCTTTGACTTATTTCACTTAGAATTTCCATCCATGTTGCAGATGGCAGGATTTCTTTCTCTTCTGTGGCTGAATAATATTCCATTGTATATGTACTGCATCTTTATCCATTCATCTACCAATAATGCTTCAGTTGCTTCCATATCTTGGCAATTGTAAATAATGAAGCAATGAACACAAGGATGCATATATCTTTTCAAATTAGTGTTGTCATTTTCTTTGAGTTAATACCCAAAGTGGAACTGGACCATATATTTCTATTTTTAATTTTTTGATGAAGTTCCATACTGTTTTCCATATTGCCTGTATCAATTTAGTTTCCAATCAATAGTATACAAGGGTTCCCTTTTCTCCACATCCTTGCTAACAAAATTATTTCTTGCCTTTTGTATAGTGGCCAATCTGACAGGTTTAAGGTAGTACCTCACTGTGGTTTTGACTTGCACTTCCCTTCTATTTAGCTATGTTGAGCATCTTTTCAAGTGTCTGTTGTCCATCTGTATTTCTTTTTTGGAAAAATGTTTATCCAGATCCTCTGACCATTTTTTACTTAATTAATTTTTGGGGTGTCGAGTTGTAAAGTTCTTTACATAGTTTGGATATTAACCCCTTATCTTCTCCCATTCAGTAGGTTGTCTTTTAATTTTGTTGACAGTTTCCTTTACTGTACAAAAGCTTTTTAGTTTGATGTAGTCCCAATTGTTTATTTTTCCTTTTTTTGCCCTTGCTTGAGTAGACAGATACAAAAATTTTGCCAAGACCAATGTCCAAGACTTTACTATTAGTGGTGACGATGGAATGCTTTTTTTTCCCTTAGGGTCAAGAACAAGGAAATGATCAATGCCATTTGTGACAGTAGATGGACCTAGAGGGTATTATGCTAACTGAGGTAAGTCAGAGAAAGACAAATATCATATGATTTCACTGAGCTGTGGAATCTAAACAACAATAAAACAAATAACCTTCCTGGCCCCCACCACAGAGAGATTCATAAATACAAAAAAAAAAAAACTGGTGGTTGCTGGAGGGGAGGAGAATGGGGGTGGGGGCAGCAGATGAATAGGTAAAGGGGATTAAAAGGTACAAACACACTGTTATAAAATAAGTAATTCATAGAGATGAGCAGTACAGCATAGGGAATATGGTCAATAATGTTATACTAGCTTTGTATTGAGACAGACGATAACTACAAGTGGTGCACACTTGTAATGTATACAAATGTCAAATCACTTTGTACACCTGAAACTAGTACGTCAACTATACTTCAATTGAAAAAACAAAACAAGACAAAACAAAAATTCAAAGCAAGAATGCTTGTTTTTAAAAACTGTACTAGAGATTTTAGCCAGAGTTTAAGACAAACAAAATAAATACATAAAAGGCATCAAGATTAAAAAAGAAGTAAAACATACTTTATTGGTAGCGGGCATGATGACCCATGTTTATGGTCCTCACAGCGGGTAGTTCTGCCCCCTGAGGACGTTTGGCAATGTCTGGAGACAATTCTGGTTTTCACAATGGGGCAGGGGGTGTTACTGACATTCACTGGGTAGAATCCAGGGATGCTGCTAAATATCCTCCAATGTCAATAATGCTGAAATGCAGAAATCCTAATCTATGTAGAAAATCCCATGGAATCCAGAAAAACATTACTAGACCTACTAAATGAGTTAGTAAAGTTGCAGGATACAATACTGCTATACAAAAACCAACTGACTTTCCATATTAGTAATGTGTGTATACATAGTGATTGTATGTATTAGCAATGAATAATTAGAAGTTGATATTAAAAATACTATGTACCATACCATCAAATATGTGAAATACCTAGAGATAAATCTGACAAAACTGTTTGGACCCTGCACACTGAAAATGACACAACAAAGCTGTGAGAAATAAAAAAGACCTACATAAGTGGAGAGATATCAAGTGCTGATAGATTGGAAGATTCAATATTGTTATCAGCTCTGCAGAAATTTTTCTATTGATTTAATGTGATACCAATCAAAATTCCAGCAAGCTTTTCTTATAGAAACTGATAACTGATTCTAAAACTTACGTGGAAATGGAAAGGTAACTGACAAGCTGATTCTAAAATTTATGTGGAAATGGAAAGAACTTAGTCAAAACACAAATTTGAAAAAGAAGACTACTTGACTTAAACTTATTATAGAACTAAAATAATGAAGGTACTATGGTATTGGCATAAAGATAGACAAATACAACAATGAAATCGAATAGAGAGTCTCAAAATAACCTACTTCTGTGCAGTCAACTGATTTTTGACAAAGGTATCAAAGCAATTCAATGGAGAAAGGATAATCTTTGAAACATGGTCTCAGAACAGCTAGAAGGCATATGTGAAAAACAAACAAACCACTTCAATCTTTACCTCACATTATCTACAAAAATTAATTTGAAATGGATCATAGATCTAATTCTAAGAGCTAAAACTACAAAACTCTGAAAACATAAGAGAAAACCCTACTGATTTTGAATATGCCAAAGATCTCTTAAGACATAGAAAGTACAAGCTTTTATAAAAGAAAAAAATAATTGGACATTACCAAATTAAACACTTTTATACCTCAATAACAAGAAACATCCCAATAATGATTGGGCAAAGTATTGAATAAACACTTAAGCAAAAAAGATAAACAGATGCCAAATAAGCACATGAAGATGTTCAACACCATCATTCATTCAAGAGAAATGCACATGAAAACCCCAATTAGATACCACTGCCAACCCACTAGAATGGCTAAAATTAAAAAGGCTGAACATACCAAATGCTGTCAAGGCTGTAATTGATTGGAACTCTCTATACTGATTATGGGAATATAAAATGGTAAGACTACTTTGGAAAACCATTTATCAGTGTCTTAAAAAGTTAAGGATATACCTACCATATGACCCAGTCAGTCATTCTATTTCCAGGTATTTAACCCAAGGTAAATGAAAGCACATATCCACACAAAGATTTGTAGATGAACATTCACAGTGGCTTTATTTGTAATAGCCCCAAACAGGAAACAATCCAAATGGAGATGAGAAGGGACAAGAAGGCAGGATTACAAAGGAGCATGGGAGCAGTGGATATGTCCCCAGTGATGGTTTCATGTGTGTATACGTATGTTGACATTTGTCAAATTGTACACTTCAAATGTGTGCAGTTTATTGTTTGTCAACTATACTGCAATTAAACTATGAAAAAAAAAGAAAAAGAAAAGTGCTGTAGTTACAAATAAGATAGGTCGAAACAGAAGTATCTGGGGCTATGTGCCCTCTAGGGGAAACCTGAGCTGCTGTAGCTGTATACTCAAATACTTAGAAGAACAGATGATAACGAGAAACTGTTCTGTAGACAGACTTCTAGGCCTTCCCTTAGGCCCTGGGCAGCCTGGGGGGTGAAGATTAATTGAGAAGTTGTGGTATAATGATCTGTAGAGAGCACTATAAGAGATTTATGTCTCTTTTTCCCCCTACCATTCTGACCACACAGGCTTTCCTCTGACAGATTTGGGGAATGTTCTGTATCTGATAAAATAAGTATTTCCAGCCAAAGAATAAAATTAATTTGGTTAATGGAGTGATGTATTTTGAAGATGTTTGCTTAGAACATGAAATCACTCTCTCAAGAGGTTTAGTAAGAATATTTTATCATTGAGTTTTCAGGTAACAAAGGTCAATATTATCTTTCAGCCAGACTGTGAGACTAAAACGCTCAGCTCATGGTGAATGGAGCAGATGCCAAATTCAGTGAGATCAGCTTACAATGGAAACACGTCTATTAGAAGCCTCATAAGTAACATCTGTTTTCCTCATGCCTTCTGGTATGATCTTTGTGAGAAAAAGAAAAGCTTATGTTTATGAAATATTTTGGTGAAGCGTAAGTACCAGGCATCCTCTTTCTAAGAGAAGAGCTAGCTGATGAGTGAAGTGAAGAACTCTGAAAAGACATCTGCTTTGACAAGTGGAAAACCTGGATGTGGAGGAAAGCTAAGACCTCTGCCCCAGGTGATATCAATTTTTCAATAATCTATTTTTAAAAGCCAACTGAGATAAACTACAGATGTTACATAATCAATTATAATTGGAACCTTCATAAAGTAGTTGATGTGAATCTTAAAAGTTGTATAAAATGGTTTAAATAAACAAAGGGAATTTATATTTAAAGAATCATAGGGAATTCTTTCATAGTATAAATAAACATTTCAAGATAATTTTTTATTGTATAAAATATAACCTATTTCCCACCAAAGAATAACATAACCTAAAACTTGTCATTTTAACCATTTTTATTAGAATTCATGTAATACATAACATTAAGACATAATACAATACAGCACAATTCACAGCATTAAGAACATTTTGCAGTGCTGTGTAATCATCACCTCTCTTGACTTCCAGAAGTTTTCATTACTTCCACAGAAACTATACCTATTAAACAGTAACTCTCCATTCCCAACCCTACTCCTGACCTCTGGTAACTGCTATTCTACTTTCTGACTCTGAATTTGCCTATTCTAGCTACTGAGTAGCTAGAACACAACATTTGTCCTGTGGTGTGTCTGGCTTATTTCACATTACATAATGTTTCCCTATACAATTTTTTAAGTTTAGATTTTTAATTATTAGCTGGCTTAAAGTGCATTTTTAAAAAACCTTATTTGGAAATGATTTTCAATTCAGAGAAAAATTGCAAGAATAAAAATAATGTGAAAATCACCCATATGTCCTTTGTCCAGATGCATTTTTTATTTACACTTTGCTCCTTTTATGCATAATCTTACTTTATACAACTTTTTCCCTGAACTGTTTGAAAGTAAGTTTTACTTTCTTACCTCTGAGTTACTTTAAATCAGTGTGTCTTTCCTAATAAGGCTTTTCTCATACATAACTGCAGTCATTAACTTCAGTACACTGTTAGAATACTGTTATCTAACCTACTGTCCATATTCCAGTTTTTTGTTTTTTTTTTGAGAGGGCATCTCTCATATTTATTGATCATATGGTTGTAAACAACAATAAAATTCAGTATAGGGGGGTCAATGCTCAATGTACAATCATTAATCCATCTCAAGCCTAATTCTCGTCAGTCTCCAATCTTCTGAAGCATAACGAACAAGTTCTTACATGGTGAACGAATTCTTACAGAGTGAATAAATTCTTACATGGTGAACAGTACAAGGGCATTCATCACAGAAACTTTCGGTTTTGATCATGCAATATGACCTATAAACCATCAGGTCAAATATGAATATTCATTTGATTTTTGTACTTGATTTATATGTTGATCCCACATTTCTCCTATTATTATTATTATTTTTATTTTTAATAAAATGCTGAAGTGGTAGGTAGATGCAAGATAAAGGTAGAAAACATAGTTTAGTGCTGTAAGAAGGCAAATGTAGATGATCAGATGATCAGGTGTGTGCCTATGGACTAAGTATTAATCCAGGCTAGACAAGGGCAGCAAGACATCCACGGATGCAGAAGATTTCTCTCAAAGCAGGGGGGGTGAGGTTCTGAGCCTCACCTCTGTTGATCCCCAAATTCTCACCTGATGGCCCCCCTGCGACTGTGCCTGTCTTAGGTTGTTCCTCCCTTGAGGAATCTTACCCGTCTCTGGCTAACCAGTCATCTTCCGGGGCCATACAGGGAAATGTAAAGTTGGTAAGTGAGAGAGAAGCCATATTGTTTGCAAAGGTTAGCTTTTTACTTCTTTGCAGATTTATGCCCTGTGGCTTCTATGCCCAGCACTTGTCTCGAGGTATCTTTACCACCTGGAGGAATTATGATACTCGGTAAATTCGATATGAGGCACGAATTCTATTTAAGGTTTGTAATTAGGAAGGAAGAAGAAAAGCTATAGATGTAGCATATGAAGGAAACTTGGGAGGATTGATTATTTCTTTGACATATCTTCTTGTATAGTACCTTAAGTATGTATAGGTTTTAAACTACTAACTAATTTGCACACACATATTAACATAATAGGAATACGGTGACATAAACAAAGCAAATCTATAATTACCAGCCATCTCCAGTGAAGCCAAGAAAACCATTTAGGCACCCTAGGCATTTGTGAAAATTTATCTATGATATGATGGATATTTTCCAACTGTACTTGAACCATCAGACAAATTAAAGCAGCCCATTTCTGGGATCTGTTCACATCCCATATGTTCTTTTAACCATAGATAGTCTATAGTCATGAGATTTTGGGGTGCTACAACTTGCACCCCTCCCAACTCCTGGTTGAGTTCCAACAGTACAGATCCAGTCAAATTCGTTGTCTCACTGTATGCACATGCCAGCCTAGACATCTCCCTCCTCCTTCTTATGGCAAGTCCAGGAGACGGTGGGCTGGATGCAGCCACAACCGCAGCATCGTCCGGATCCCTGTGGAGGCTTTTTGATGATCATCCCCCGGCACGAGTCCTCCAGAGAGTGCTGATGCCGGAAGCTCCTCCTCATATCGTATCTTAGTTCATTTTCTGGGTATCCAAGCTAGGCCTTGATCTTCTGCGTAGAAACAAACAGACCCTTTGCCCACACTTTGACATGCCCTCTATACCACTGTGCAGAACTCATTGGAGGTCAGCACACAGTAACTTTTTTTTTTTTTTTTTTTAATTAAGAGAAAGGAATATTATCAGAAAAGAGTACCTCCATAGCTGATCATCTGACACCCTTTAAGTGATCAACATTAAGGATATTTAAAGCATGCGTTGATCTTTGATTTACCAATAGTTTTATCCTGTTAAGGAGTAATCCCCCTTTTCTTTCTTTTTTTTTTTTTTTTTTTTTTTAAATTTTTAATCTACACTTACCTGAAGAATACTATGTTTACTATGCTCTCCCCTATATCAGGTCCCCCCTAACAACCACATTACGGTTACTGTCCATCAGCTTAGCAAAATGTTGTAGAGTCACTACTTGTCCTCTCTGTGTTGTGCAGCCCACCCTCCCCTTTCTCCCTCCCCCCCATGCATGCTAATCTTAATACCCCCCTTCTTCTTCCCCCCCCTTATCCCTCCCTGCCCACCCATCCTCCCCAGTTCCTTTCCCTTTGGTACCTGTTAGTCCATTTTTGGGTTCTGTAATTCTGCTGCTGTTTTGTTCCTTCAGTTTTTCCTTTGTTCCTATACTCCTCAGATGAGTGAAATCATTTGGTATTTCTCTTTCTCCGCTTGGCTTATTTCACTGAGCATAATACTCTCCAGCTCCATCCATGTTGCTGCAAATGGTTGGATTTTTCCACTTCTTATGGCTGAGTAGTATTCCATTGTGTATATGTACCACATCTTCTTTATCCATTCATCTACAGATGGACATTTAGGTTGCTTCCAATTCTTGGCTATTGTAAATAGTGCTGCGATAAACATAGGAGTGCATCTGTCTTTCTCAAACTTGATTGCTGCGTTCTTAGGGTAAATTCCTAGGAGTGGAATTCCTGGGTCAAATGGTAGGTCTGTTTTGAGCATTTTGATGCACCTCCATACTGCTTTCCACAATGGTTGAACTAATTTACATTCCCACCAGCAGTGTAGGAGGGTTCCCCTTTCTCCACAGCCTCGCCAACATTTGTTGTTGTTTGTCTTTTGGATGGCAGCTATCCTTACTGGTGTGAGGTGATACCTCATTGTAGTTTTAATTTGCATTTCTCTGATAATTAGCGATGTGGAGCATCTTTTCATGTGTCTCTTGGCCATCTGTATTTCTTTTTTGGAGAACTGTCTGTTCAGTTCCTCTGCCCATTTTTTAATTGGGTTATTTGTTTTTTGTTTGTTGAGGCGTGTGAGCTCTTTATATATTCTGGACGTCAAGCCTTTATCAGATCTGTCATTTTCAAATATATTCTCCCATACTGTAGGGTTCCTTTTTGTTCTATTGATGGTGTCTTTCGCTGTACAGAAGCTTTTCAGCTTAATGTAGTCCCACTTGCTCATTTTTGCTGTTGTTTTCCTTGCCCGGGGAGATATGTTCAAGAAGAGATCACTCATGTTTATGTCTAAGAGGTTTTTGCCTATGTTTTTTTCCAAGAGTTTAATGGTTTCATGACTTACATTCAGGTCTTTGATCCATTTTGAGTTTACCTTTGTATATGGGGTTAGACAATGGTCCAGTTTCATTCTCCTACATGTAGCTGTCCAGTTTTGCCAGCACCATCTGTTGAAGAGACTGTCATTTTGCCATTGTATGTCCATGGCTCCTTTATCAAATATTAATTGACCATATATGTTTGGGTTAATTTCTGGGGTCTCTAATCTGTTCCACTGGTCTGTGGCTCTGTTCTTGTGCCAGTACCAAATTGTCTTGATTACTATGGCTTTGTAGTAGAGCTTGAAGTTGGGGAGTGAGATCCCCCCTACTTTATTCTTCTTTTTCAGGATTGCTTTGGCTATTCGGGGTCTTTGGTGTTTCCATATGAATTTTTGAATTATTTGTTCCAATTCATTGAAGAATGTTGCTGGTAATTTGAGAGGGATTGCATCAAATTTGTATATTGCTTTCGGCAGGATGGCCATTTTGACGATATTAATTCTTCCTAGCCATGAGCATGGGATGAGTTTCCATTTATTAGTGTCCCCTTTAATTTCTCTTAAGAGTGACTTGTAGTTTTCAGAGTATAAGTCTTTCACTTCCTTGGTTAGGTTTATTCCTAGGTATTTTATTCTTTTTGATGCAATGGTGAATGGAATTGTTTTCCTGATTTCTCTTTCTATTGATTCGTTGTTAGTGTATAGGAAAGCTACAGATTTCTGTGTGTTAATTTTGTATCCTGCAACTTTGCTGTATTCCGATATCAGTTCTAGTAGTTTTGGAGTGGAGTCTTTAGGGTTTTTTATGTACAGTATCATATCATCTGCAAATAGTGACAGTTTAACTTCTTCTTTACCAATCTGGATTCCTTGTATTTCTTTGTTTTGTCTGATTGCCGTGGCTAGGACCTCCAGTACTATGTTAAATAACAGTGGGGAGAGTGGGCATCCCTGTCTGGTTCCCGATCTCAGAGGAAATGCTTTCAGCTTCTCGCTGTTCAGTATAATGCTGGCTGTGGGTTTATCATATATGGCCTTTATTATGTTGAGGTACTTGCCCTCTATTCCCATTTTGCTGAGAGTTTTTATCATGAATGGATGTTGAATTTTGTCAAATGCTTTTTCAGCATCTATGGAGATGATCATGTGGTTTTTGTCTTTCTTTTTGTTGATGTGGTGGATGATGTTGATGGATTTTCGAATGTTGTACCATCCTTGCATCCCTGGGATGAACCCCACTTGGTCATGGTGTATGATCCTTTTGATATACTGTTGAATTCTGTTTGCTAATATTTTATTGAGTATTTTTGCATCTACATTCATCAGGGATATTGGTCTGTAATTTTCTTTTTTGGTGGGGTCTTTTCCTGGTTTTGGTATTAGGGTGATGTTGGCTTCATAGAATGAGTTTGGGAGTATTCCCTCTTCTTCTATTTTGTGGAACACTTTAAGGAGAATGGGTATTATGTCTTCTCTGTGTGTCTGATAAAATTCCGAGGTAAATCCGTCCGGCCCCGGGGTTTTGTTCTTGGGTAGTTTTTTGATTACTGTTTCAATTTCTTTGCTTGTAATTGGTTTGTTTAACTTTTGTGTTTCTTCCTTGGTCAGTCTTGGGAGGTTGTATTTTTCTAGGAAGTTGTCCATTTCTTCTAGGTTTTCCAGCTTGTTGGCATATAGGTTTTCATAGTAGTCTTTAATAATTCTTTGTATTTCTGTGGAGTCTGTCGTGATTTTTCCATTCTCATTTCTGATTATGTTGATTTGTGTTGACTCTCTTTTTCTCTTAATAAGTTGGGCTAGAGGCTTATCTATTTTGTTTATTTTCTCAAAGAACCAGCTCTTGGTTTCGTTGATTTTTGCTATTGTTTTATTCTTCTCAATTTTGTTTATTTCTTCTCTGATCTTTATTATGTCCCTCCTTCTGCTGACTTTAGGCCTCATTTGTTCTTCTTTTTCCAGTTTTAATAATTGTGATGTTAGACTATTCATTTGGGATTGTTCTTCCT